CAGATACTATGAAAGTTATTTTTTAAATTGTCACCAATTTGTATTCTTAAAAATAGTGGGAAGAACGTGGCTTTCGAACAGTACCAGCTGAAGCTCGGCTCTTGCCTGTGCCCTTCTGGCGGGTGGCCTTAGCTGTTTTCCTCCCTGAGCACTTTATCCCCCAACTCCAAGGCGAGGCGCATTCCTATCTTGCTGGGCTCTTCCTAGACTTTGTTATGCAAATGTTCATAGTGCAGCCAAGCAAGAGCCTCTTTTTGGAGACATATTTATTTACTGAAAAATACTCTTCAGTGGTACCAAGGTCCTAGCCTGAGCACTCATGAAGTTTCCAGGCAGCTAGACTCCTCCATTTTCATTTAAGAAATTGCCCCAAAATGTAGAGGCTTAAAGCCACAGGGATCATTTTCCCTCCCTTGTGGGGGCTGGTGGAGCCAACACTGGCTGGGGATGCCAGCACCGCTGTCCCTGAGGGGGCCAGGATGGGCCTCCCCTGCTGTCTCAGGTCCCATGCAAGGTATGTGGGGACATGGCTCAAAAGTCACATGATGGCACTGGTCTTGTTCTATTGGTCAAAATAAGTCATGAGCCCATGGGTGATGCCAAAAATGGAAGTGAAATGAAAAGAGAAACCCAGCCAAGGCAGAGACAAGAGGGAGGGGAGCTGACTCACACAGCTGTCGGGGAGCTCTTCCAAGGGTGAGAAAGGGCTGCTGTGCTCAGACCCAGCTCGGAGCAAGGCTGGCACAGAGGTCTGCTTGAGCAAAGGTCCTGAGGCATGAAGTACTTGCTGGGACACAAGAAGCCCTCTGCTGGCTGGGAAGGTCATGTTCCTGGAGGGGGAAGTGAGACAGGCCCAGGGGAGCCCCCAGGCTGCCCTGGTGTGACATTATGTCAGTTTCTTCTCTCCTAACAAGTGGAAGGTGGGAGGTGTAAATGTATTTTATTCAGGATTGCCAGTCGATGGTAATTCTACTATGCTGGGACATTAGTGTGCAAGGCTCAAATTTGGAATGAAAAATGTGTTTCCACAGAGGCAGATGTTGAAAGGTTATAATTATGTTGAAAACCAATGCCCATCCCTGGGTGTTTACTGACCGTCCTGAATATTTATGTCCCTTTAAGAAGGTGGAGAATGTTCCTAAGCCATGCTTCACTGTATTCTATTTCCATGACAGAAACCTGGGGAAGGGAGAAATTCACGAAGGCATGGAGAGCTGACATCGCTGGTCCTTGTTCTTTACAGGATGTGACTGTAACGTACAAGGTGCTCTCTCCAGCCAATGTGATGACCAGGGAAGGTGCATGTGCCACCCAAATGTAGAGGGCCTCCGATGTGACACCTGCAAGAGGGGCTTCTACTCTTTCCCTGCTTGTCGACGTGAGTGAGCAACACACAGCATGTGGGCCCATTCTCTGGGGTACATGCCTTTCCTAGGAGCTGCAGGGGATCTTTCTGGCAGATCTGTGTGGCCTATATTTTAAAAAGTTATCTCCTGGCTTCTACATGCATGTTACACATGTCTATCCTCCTGGGGCCTGGTTACCAGTTCCTTTTGTTTCCCAACCCTCCCTTCCTCCTTCCCAGTGGCTAAGTGCCTGGACTGTGGGGTTGGATGCCTGAGATTCACGACCTGGGTCTGGAAAGGAGGGTAGAAGAGGTATAGGTAGAGGAGACAAAGGTAGAAGAGATGAAGAAGGTGAGCTAGGGAGAAGGAACAGCCTCTTTCTGGGAGCTTAGTAACCTGGGGTCCCATCCTAGTAAGTCAAGAGAAGTGGAGGGAGTGGGGTAGCCATGCTTGGCCAGTCCCTAGTGAGTCACAGTTATGTAGTAGACAGTGGGGCTGAGTGGCCACAGCAGCCTCAGGACTTGCTCAGTGGCACCAAGAGGGCAGCCTTCCCCTTAGCTTCCACCTTTGTCATTGTATTCAATTCTTCAAATTTGCACAACCCATGGGTGCCTGGTGCCCAGCTCCAGGCAAATCTGGGAAGTGTTCCCTTTACTTTCTGGTATCTGAACATGGGAGGAGGGGAGCACAGACATTGATCACCCTGGTGGGCAGGACCAGCCACCCAGAGGCACTGGGAGTGGGGACAGGAGCAGAAGACACTCCGGATACTGGAAGGCACAACCCGGGTCCCAATAGCTAAGCATGTGGGCAAGGTACTTAGCTCCTCTGCTTTTCAGGTCCTTCTTAGTCCACTCAGCCCGGTGCTAGGAGGCTCCTGTAGGTCCTATATGCTGAGCCCTTTCAGCCTGGAAGCACTTATTCCTCCATTAGTTACTATTCTCGTGCTAGTTTTCTAGAGGACCCACTGACATTTATTTTATTGTTTTAACTGCTATCCTTATAAAAAGAGCAAACCATTCTGTGCCTAAAAGACTCTAGAGACCTTTCTACATCCTCCTTAACTCCAGCAGCAATCCCAGACTCTGGTAGAATGAGTGCAGATATTCCAATCTAGCCATTTACATGGGCGAGATGGTCAACTGCCCACCACATGGTGGAACTGTAAGCAAGGCCCTGTGGGCTGAGAATGGGGACATCCCAGCCACCCTATCCTTACTGGCTGGTAGCATGAAGTGTCCACTTGGGAGCTACAAGCTGAGAATACCAGCAGCTGCCACCACCCCCCAGGACCCACTTGTGGGGCAGAGGTGTCGCTTCTCCCATCTCCAGACCTGCTGGTACAGTGACTCCACCCAGGAGAAAAGGCAGGGTACAGCTTTGCTGGAGGAACTGACTACTTCTAAATTAAAGGAGATATGATAACAATTTATCACGGAATAGAGGATATCAATACCGAGGAGAAATTATTTAAAAGAAACAAATGGAATTTTAGAGTTGAACAGTATAATCACTGAAATGAAAAATTCATGCCAAAGGATCATCTGTAGATTTGAGCTAATTGAAAAAAAAAAATCAGATAAAAATCATAGCTTAATAGAGGCTATGCAATCTGGAAAACAGAGAGAAAAGAGAATGAAGGCAAATGAATAGAAGGGCAAAAAAAGGGCTGGTGAGATAACTCAGTGAACTAAGCACCTGCTTAGGCAAGCGCAGGGACCGAGGTTCAATCCCCGGAGTGCACTGAGCCAGCGACTGAGTCTGGGCATGGTGGCACACGCCTGTAATCCCAGTGCTGGCAGGCTGAAAACAGGAGGCTCACTATGAGTCCAAACTGCACAATGAGACCCTGTACCAAATTCGTAAAATTAAGCAAAAACTTTAGAAGGGCAAAAGAAGATGAACACCATTAAGTGCACCAACAGATGCATATTGTGAATACCAAAAGGTGAGGAATGAAAGGGATGGAAAAAGGAGCAAGAGAAGCAATAGAAAAAGACCCCAAGTTTGATCAAAGACAAGCTGTTATCAGTTCAGCAAATGCCAAGCAATGCAGAGGACTCCATACACGACAAGGGGGCCAAAGCAGTAAGATCCCCTACCCTATTGCCACTAAGAAGTCAAAAAGCCTGCCCTCAGTGGTTCCTACCACCTAGTCTGTGGCCTTGGGATTCAGTGCTTTGGTGGCTCAAGTCAGAGTCTCCTCACATTTTTGGAGGTGAGAGTGGAACCAAGATGTCTGAGCCACGTGAACGGAACAGGCAGGAGTTGGTTCCCAGAGGCAGGAGCAACCAAGATGGAGCGGCAAGACTTGTGTCTCATCCTCACTGCTGAGCAAACTTTGCCTCCCAAGATCCTACAAGAGATCAGGAGCCTCTCTGAGATGTGGCTGCACAGTTTTGTTCTTAAGAAGACGACATCTGACAGGAAAGTCGTTCAGTCAGCTACGCTGCGTGTGAAGACGATGTCACGTCCCAGGCCTTAGATGAATGAAGTCAGGATTTGTCAGAAACAAGAACTTACCTTCTCATTTATGTTGTTTGTAGAGCTGGTTTGGAGCTCTGCTTCCAAAGGGCCCCCGTAGCCTCCTGGACCCATCAGAAGCACAGGAGTGGCATGCTTGCCTACAGCCTCTTGGGAGAGGGGCCAGAGGACCCCTGACTGCACTGTGTGGTCCCCATGGAGAATATCTGTAGTCAGTCTCTGCTGATCCTGCCTGCAGATCAATCATGGCTCTAGTTAGAGAAAGAGGCTCACCCTACACTGCAGATGGGACAAGGCAAATCACTGTTTGGGCTTTGACATTCAAGCTGAAGCAAGGGAGCTGATGCCTGCTTACGTATGTCCAGCCTCGGGGAAGCTGGCCAGCGCTCACACCTTGCTCACTGAGTTCTACAGGAAGGGTGCACAGTGGTCTTCCTTGGTGGTGTCAAAGTCTCTCCTGAGGCCCTTCTTTTATTTGAAACTTGTGGTTGAGGAGTTCAGGGTCACACAGCATATACTCTCCGCTGGGCCCCCTTCTCTTGCACTTGCCTTCTTTCCTGTTGGATTTATGATCACTTTTAGAGGAAGAGCATAAATTGGCCTATTGAATTTTAGAAACAAATGAATGTGGCCCAAAATGCTACATCAGATGGTCTGATAGATTTGAGCCAAAGTCTGATCTTATGGCTCTGTTCTTTATTGCTTTAAAGATTTTTTAAAAATCTTCTTCAAAAAGAATTAAATATTTCTGTTCATGCCAACTGCAGACCTGGGTTTATGTTTTGCATTAGATTAATTGGGTTCAGGCTTTTCTAAGTACAGTGCTGTATTCTTCTCATTTTGCCTTTGGCTCACTTAAGTGCCCTATAATTTTTTTTTTCTTGAAGTAGAAATGAAATCATCAATAAGAGACCAGATTGGCAAATTGTCTATATGTACAGGAAATTTGGATTTATGTTTGTGTGTTCAGTTCAGCTGTTTGTTTTCAACCCCAGAATACAACCACAACTCTCTTGATTAACTCTTTATGCCTTTCTTTTGCTCCTGTTCCTCATGCCTGGTCATTTTCCTCTCTTCTTTATTTTTCTCTTCTTTTCTTTCATCTTCTCTCTTTTCAGGGAGTTTTCTAGGCAGCAACTACTTAGCACTTGGAACAGAAGGTGGAGGGTGGGCATGTGGAACCAGCAGTCGGTCCAGTTACCCTCCGCCTGTTCCCATTAGAGTTTGACATTGTCGGTGGGTTGTGGTAACAGAGACCCCAGTGGGTAGGTCATCAGCAGGAAGTTAGCTTCCTTCTCCATGTTAGCAGGTGCTCCGCAGTCAGGCAAATAAGCTAAGGCCCAGAGATGAGCGCTGCTGCTGGTTGGTGTGGGGAAGGTTTCTGGCCTGGGATGCTGCTGGGAAAGGAGGAGGAGGGAGGGAACATTCTGAAGCCAAGTTTCATGCCATTTTGCTTCTTGAATTGGCCAACTATCATTTAGTTTTTGTGTAAGAAAACACTGAGCTGCTTGGCTGAAGGGCTTAAGGCTTCCTGTAGATTTAATGCGTCCAGTGCTCATGCCGAGGGCTGTGGACTGTGACATGTGTTGTGGCTTTGTGGGTTTGACTGAGGTGTCAGCCTGTTTTCCATGGGAAGAAACAGCTCCAAAATCATGAGTCACAGGAACATCCCCTGGCCAGGGAGGAGCTCTGTGTACCTGTTAGTTTATGTTTTATCTCTGTAGTGCTAGTAACAATAAACACTCTAAGTTTATTACTGAAGGTGAAGAGCTTGGCATTACTCATAGCAAAACTTGTCTCACAGCAACAGTGTATGATGCAGTAGGCTAACGCCGTCAAGAACGTGCTCAGCTCAGGACCTTAGCAAGCCTTTCGACAGTTGCCCACGTTGCCCTTGAACAACCATGTGGCATGTGCCATGGACCAAGACCGTGCCTGTAGCTGGGGACACTGGACAACATGGCCATCTGCTTGCTTCCTGGGACCTTTGTCACTACAGGTCAGGCATCCCTAATCAGAAAATCCTAAATCCAAAATACTCCAAAATCTGAATTTTTTTCCACACTCCTAGCGTGGAAAAGTGTCTTAGGGCACAGTAAAAGGAAAATGAAGAGGAAGAAGTAAAATAGTCCAGGACTTCCAATGGATCTGGACCAAAAGAAAGAATAGAATTCCAATACTTGTGAATTTCCAAGACAGAAGAGGCCAGCCAGTCATGGGGTCTGCGCTGGGATTTGGCAGCTTTCACAGACAGTTGGATTAAGGCGAGAAGCACCTTGCCAGATCGGGTCATGCGTTTAAGACAGTGTGTGCGCTCACAAGGCGATGTCTGGGTCTCCACCTCCAGGATGTAACAAGGCTGCAGGCCGAAGGGCCAGCGTGTGCTACCCACACCATGCCATGCTGCCTTCATGCCAGGCCGATGCCCCAGTGCCCTCATGAGTGCTTTGCTTTGCTTGCTTGCTTTTTTTCTTTTTTTTTGTATTTTAGGGAAGGGTCTACAGAACATTCATGGTCTCACTAGTAGATCAGACTCATGGTGATCCCCCTGTTTATAGCCTCCTAAGAGCTGGGATTACAGGCACATGCCATCATGCCCAGTCTCAATTGTGAGCTCAGTGTGCCCCGGGTGCGGGACCAGCATGGCAGGCCTGGGGATAGAACCCCCGGCCCCTGTGCCTGCTTGCAGGTGCTTTAATCCACTGAGCTATTTGGGTGAGTGTTTTTCTTTGGGCTACTCACCTCCCTTTAGAGCAGAAGGAACTTTGAATTAGCCAGAGTTCTCCAGAGAAATCTGAACAGGATATGTGTGTGTCTAGAAAGACACTTGTTTTAAGAGACTGGCTCATGGTTTGTGAGGGCTGGCAGATCTGCCGTGTGCAGGGTGGGTTGGCAGGTGGGGCCCAGGCATGAGCTCACAGTCCTGCTGTGAGTGGAAGACAGTCTGAAGGCATAATTGCTCCTTCTCCTTAGGGGGATGGTGGCCCTTTTCTCTTAAGGATTTCAGCTATGTGGGTGGACAGTGAAGGGAAGAACCCTGCTTACTCAAGATGCACTGATTTAAATGTTAACCTCATCCAGAGCAAAGCTCCACAGGACACTGAGACTGGTACCTGACTAACCTCCGGGCAACACAGTGTAGCCAAGGTGACACAGAAAACTGACCAACTAATGTCCCTCCTGTCATTGGGCACCCAATCTGTGTCTCCTTAATCCACACATAACCACTGAATAAACACTCTAGCAAGGGCATAATCCTGCCTACATGATACAACTATCATACATGCAATCAAAATCATCCTAATTCTTTGCCCAAAAGAAAATGTGAAGTCCCTGGCTGATGTTCACTCTTCTTGATATTCTGTAACTTGTATCACACAGAATAAAGTCCATACATTTCATATTGTATGGTAGGAGGACGAGGGAAGAAAACATACTTGTTTCATATACGTACAGTACACCCCCCCACATTTGTATAAAAATAAGGAAATATTCATTATAGTTATGTCTTCATCATTTCTCTAACTTGCCATGTGCTCATGGCTGATGATATCTTCCTGCACTACCCATTCTCTATTCTCTGTGACTTCAGCCAGCTGCTTAGCTGGTCATGGTACTTTTTTTTTTTTGCAGAACTGGGGATTGAACTCAGGCCCTTGCGCTTGCCAGGGAAGCCCTTATTCCACTGAGCCATCTCCCCGGCCCCTCTGGTCATGGTTCTTCACTGGCAGATTCACCCGCATGCTCATGTGTAGAGGATCTCGGCCACTGGTGATCTTGTGGTTGTGTTTTCTATTGGCTTTAATCACGGGCCATGGTACTGCCGAGGGACACTGTAAGAAATCTCCTAGGCTCCAGACATAGTCTTCTTTATCCCTATTGTGGAATTAACAGTCTGTTTTCCCCTTGATCATCCAGGGACCAGAACTACTCTCCTCTTTGTTGTCTCTAAGGCATGAGTAGCTCGGAGTAGCCAAATGGCGCCTTGACTTCCAGTTCAACGGAGTCATTATTCATGCGTCCCTGACAGAAACATCCTCCCTCTGGAGTGAAGTCTTCCAGACCAGCAGAGCAGATGGTACCTGGGACAGGAAGCAAAACTTTTGTTAGTGATCTGCAGAGGTGACAGTGGATGGTGCCACTCTCATTTCTGTCCCTTGATTCTCGGTCTTGGCCATTCCCCTACCCTTAGTATCCACACTCGCACAGATTTCTCCTATTTGTGTTTAAAGTGCGAGAATCCATAGCTCCTTCTGGATGTAGCATACCTCCTCATGGGGCGTGCTTTGTATCTCACCCCAGGGCCTTCTGGGAGTTGAGGCTAGTTATCAGTCTAGAAGGAAGGGGCAGGGCTGGGTCCACAGGGCTGACAGTGTCTTGCAAGGCCATTCCTACCACACAGCACTGTTTCTGCCAGCAGAGCAGAGTTCAGCCACTCGGATGTGGGTGGGGCAGCTGCTTTCTCTGGCAAGCAAGACCATGGAATTTGAGGGTTCAGTGTCCTCATTTTCATCTTGATCTCCCAGTGTGTCCCCAAACCAATTCTGCAGGCTTTGCTTCTTCCCAGTCACTGCCCTCAGCAGACGTCCTGAAAAGATGGGGGTCTCCATCTACCGTGTGGCCCAGCCACTTGCAGGATAAGAACTGTGGGATCATTTTTCAGCAGCCTCAGCCCCTACAGTGTAGGAGATAAGGGCTTCTTGTGGGCAAGATGAAGAAACATCAAGGTCAGTTTTGTTACTGAGCAAGGCAATCAAACCCCGGATGCCTTATTTTCTCTCTCCACATTGTCCAACACGATTAGAAGCAATCATCCAATTTCATTATACTCATTAGGTTGACAGAAATGTTCTAGAGAATCAAGTGCCTAGCCATTCAGAGCTTTATTTTTCCTGAGTATCTGCCTGTGTGTATCTGGGAATGATGTTCATCTGTATTTCTATTGTCACAACAAGTAATAGATTGCTGCTGGAAATACAATCATTAGTTCCTCTAAATCTATCAGCTGAGAAAACCACTTCACCAAACCCCAGAACCCACCGTCATTCATTCTTAAGACTTTCTCTAGAAACTCTTCTCATTGTGCCTCTCTTAGCGTTCTCCAGAGAAACAGAACTGACAGAGTTGGTGTGTGGAAAGATATGTAGAGAAAGATTGAGGAATTGACTCTCACAACTGTAGGATAATCAAGGCTAAAAGCTGCAAAGTGGGCCAGCAGACTGATGACCTAGTCTAGAGTTTATTTTGCAGCTCGAAGCCAGAGTCTATGGATCCCTTCTTGGGGGTTATCCATCTTTCTCTCATGAGGCCTCCTTTACCTAATTAGAAAAGCCACATATGGCGTATAATCTTATTTACTCAAACGCTGCTGATGTACATGTTAATCTCATCTAAGAAGTACCTCCCACACCCAAGCTGCCATTTGACTAAACCTCTGGGTGCCACAACCCAGGGATGGTGACTCAGAGAATTAACCACTCCAGAGGGCAAGAACATTTGCTTAGAGATCTGCCTCTGGGAGGGGACTTAATCTCTGCAGACAGCTCCGGGAGAGCCACGGGGCCATGGGAGGACCCTGGCAGAGATGGCAGTAGGGGATCTGAGTCCTTGTCGTGTACCTAGCTTTCAGTGGCTCATGGAGCAGCATTACTCTTTCTTATGTTTAGTTTTCTGTGGGGTAGGACCCGTTATACTATGTCAACAATTCTCTAGCTCTTCTTCCGGACCTGCAGTTCTTTGAGATCAGGAACTGTATTTTTGTGTTAATCTCCGCCCTACAGCCAGCCACGGTGCCCCTGAACACAATGAGCCTCTCATCAGTGTCTGGCGGGTGGCTGTCAGGGTGAGAGGTAGTAAATTCTGTGGATCTGCCCTTAATTGTGTCCACTTGAATAAGTTACACAGCTGTTGAAAGAAAACTAGCTCAGTGAAAAACATTTTTTTCTTAATTTCCAAAAACAACTAGGGCCTACTCATTCCTATTATTACTAAAACCCATTTTCAGAGTTAGTCATCACTAATAGGCACGGTTGAATTCCATCCAAGAGAATAAAAACTTCACAGTGTTCTCAGCCTCAGGCTTAGCCATGTAGGGCTTTTTAAAACTCCAGGGCATTTTAGAGGTGAAATGTTCCTGGTGGTTCTTTTTTTCCCCAAAGTTTCACTAAGTGTAGAATCTTTGAGACGTTGTAAATAAGATTCTTCTCCTTTTCTTCCTCCTTCTTCTCCTTTTCACCAAGTACAACGAATATTAATTTGGACCTCAGGAATGCTAATTCATTAATTCCCACAAGTTCAGTGTGGAATGGTGTAAGAACAGTTTCCCAGGAGTGGGGAGCGGAGTGTCGAGAGTAACAGTGCTAATGTGAGCAAGCCCCAGAGGCCGTGCCAAGGATCCTGCTCTGCGTTTGTCACATCTCACCTCAGGGGCCCTCCCATGACCTCTCGAGGTGGATACTCTATCAGCTCCTGCTCACAGAAGAGGACACTGAGGCTTACTGAGGCTGAATAGCCCATCCCCAGGTGCATGCTCTTACATGGCACAGCTGGCATCTGCATCCTGAGGCGTCTCACCCCAGAGGTTGAACCCCTTTGCTGCAGACCAGTTGGGTGACTCATCAGGGGGAAGCTCTCCGGCTAAAGAAGTTACCGGGCCACATCCACTGCTCACTCTCCCCAGGAGCAGAGTTCTTGACAGCGATGCTCAGCAACGTGGTCTTGCACAGAGACAGGAACCTGTCCTGGCGTGGCCAGCATCTCCTCTGTGTGTTTTCACCTCAAGACAAACATGAGGTCAAGGCTTGAGGTGGGCAGTTGGTGTCAGGACGCCTTTCCTCTCCTTCCCAACTTTGCCTGTAGCACTTCTTCTTCCAGGATTATTCAACAACAGTTATGCTGGACCTTGAGAAAATAGGTATGAAGGAAGGGACATATGGAGTGAGAGGGGGACAGGTCTGCACTGATCTGGACCTGAAGGGTTTGCACTCAACCCCAAGGGGACCTGTCATGAGCATAGAAGCTCTGACAATCCAGGTCTCCATCAGCTGTCCTTTCACTGTCCTCTGATGAGCGCCATTACTGGGTGTGAGAAGCACCCCAAAGAACTCCCCCACCACCAGCCACTTGCTGAGTACAAAGTTAACATCAAGAACGGGCACTTATGACCGAGTTGCAGCTCTTTCAAGTCCGACTCAGTCCTCACATGAGCTTATCAAGTAGCTGCTAGTATGAGTCCCACTCCAGACAGGGGAAACTGAGGCTTAGGTCTGTTGAGTAATCAGTTTTGGGCTCCAGGTCAATTCAGAAGAGGAGCTGGAATTTGCATTAGGGTCCTTCTAGCTTTACCCCCAGGGTCCCACCCAGGACGTGATCCTGCCCCTCCCACGCCCTGTGCCTGAGTCTGATGGGGCTCTTTTCTTCCAGGCTGCCAGTGTTCATCTGAGGGGAGTGCTCACATGACGTGCAACCCGAAGACTGGGTGGTGTGTGTGCACCGTGGGGGTATCAGGACCGCGTTGTGACAGGTGCCTCTCAGGAGCCCCCGATGTTCCCCTTTGTGCAGGTAGGAAAGTTCACAGAATGCAGTATGACTGGTTGCTCTGAGTGTGTAGCCAGCCCCCAAAGAAGCCTGCAAATCCCCTGCAGATCCATCCCGGTCACTCCTACATATTTGACTTAGGCTGTCCTTGTGTAATCCCACTGAAACCACACACATCACATATGCGTCCCCAAAAATGAAGAAATGGTGTGTTCTGAGGTTAAGTTTAAATTTGCATGGGTGAAAGATGTGGGCTTCTTGGGGGAAGTGTCAGCTCTCCGGCACAGCGGCACAGCACTCACATCCCCCTGAGCTGAGGCACTAGCTGTCCCTCCAGCACCACACCACCTGGCTTTGGTGTAGCCTTCCCCTGGGTTCCCTAACTGTGGGCTGTTTCTCTGCTTTCTGCTAGCACCTCTGCCCTGCTGGGCACTGTGTCATCACACTTGAGTGCAGGCACCAAGATGGGGCCTGGGCCCAGTGGGGCCCATGCAGTAGGGGAAAAGTGAACCAAAGAGAAGGTGGCAGGCTGAGCTTGAGTTGCCTGTGTTCTGTGACACAGGGAACAGAGACAAGATGCCACCATTCTCCCTGAGGCTCCTGCTGTCAGCAGCAGCCTTCAGGGTGTGCTAGGCGCTCCTGCCTGGAGTCCAGAGGCCTCTTACTATGTCGAGAAGAGGGATTTGTGGACACAGGCAGGCTTTCCTACAGGAGAACCTGGGCTCCTCAGCTTCATCCTGCTCCTGGTCACTCGTGGGGCTGTGTTGTCTGAAGTCTGTATCCTGGGACCAGGGTTTCCTGAGGGTGGAATTGAAGGCAGCAGTCAGAAGGGGTCCCCGCCCCTGAGAAGGCCTGAGGGTTCTGGAAGGCAAGGATGCATCTGGGCTGGATGCCTTCTGTGGGGCTCAGGAGTGGAAGGAAGTATTGCAGTGGAGGCTGAGCAGCCAGGGCCACCCCAGTCTGGACAGTGTCAATGCGCCCTGTTTGCATGGACAGTGCTATACATGTACGGTGTACATGGACAGAGCTGGGCGTGCTGCGTATCCAGGGAGGAATGCAAGGCTGGGCATGGACAAATTGGAAAACAAGAGTAGGATGGTTGCACTAACTAATAGAGAACAATAGAGGAAAAGGAGAAAGAAGAGGAGAAGGAAGAGGAAGAGGAGGAAGAGGAGGAGGAGGAGCTGAAAGAGGGAAAGGAGAAAGAGGGGAGAGACCAAGAGGGAACTGAGATGAATAGAAATATGCGACACTAGCAAAAAGCCAAGAAACAACTTACAGAAGAAATAAGACTTAATTATGGCTTGATACAGAACATGGTTTGAAAACCAGACTCTGAACAGGTTTGCCTGTTTTATCATTCTAACGGCTGCAGGGACAGAATGTATTAGGCTTGCTGGACTATCCTGACAACAGCAGGAATGAACTAAAGTGTGTGTGTGTGTGTGTGTGTGTGTGTGTGTGTGTGTGTGTGACCTGAGATTAAGCCCAGGGCCTTCACAATGAGTTTATTCTCACAGTTCTTTTTAATTGCTAAATTGCCCAGAATGTTGGCATGACGGGTATGTGTCACCTCACACTGGCAAACAGTTTGGTTTTATAAATGACTTTAGCACCAGTGAGAAACAAGAGGTAATAATTAACCAACTCTTGGTTAACTAAAAACTGAATTTAGGTATTCTGTAACTGTACAAGTTAAAAAATCTCTTGGTACAATACTGCCCTCTTCTGGATGCCTCTAAAGATGCTTAAAATTTTACAATCTGCTCTCCAATTAAAGGTTTTATTGAGGAACAGGAAGTAGAATTGTTCAGTGATAAAAAGTAGCAATTTGGGAATCAAAGATCATAAATGTTATGTGGTTTGCATCACACACAGCTTTTGCCATTCATTTATTCAAATATATATAGGTGCACAATTGTTAAAGACAAGCAAAATTTTAAAAATGTGAACTATTAAGACAAACCCAAACTTCCCAACACTGACGTTTCTGAATCACATACAGATATCAGAAAACTAATTTGTGACCCAGATGGAACCGACAGCATGTCCAGCTCGGTAACGTAGAATTATAACTCTGTTATATTTGGGTGCTTCTTCTGTGTGGGAGCTTTCTGAATTTGAAAGTAAATTACAGGAAGACTGAAGGGCAGATTCCTTGAAGAGGTTAGTGTTCCTTTTGCAAGGACATGTGTGCTCTTGTGGTGTCTTCATAAGCCAAAGAATAACAGTGGCTTAAACACTGTATTTTGGAGTCCTGGAGTTTCGCTCCCGTAGGTTGCTCTGAGTCCCAGGCTCCCCCAGTGGCCAAAGACCAGTGTCACAAAGCGCACTGCCACAGCTCTTACGTTGTTGCAAGCCACAAGCTGGTATTCTGAACACTTTTAGAAGACCTAGAGAGGTGCCTCCAGGCACAGGGCCGGCAGTGGGAAAGAGTCCCGCCATCCAGACCCAGTGATACGGAAGCCAGGCTGCGATCTTGCTTTTCCCCAAGGCACTCGCGGAGCTTCAGTGCTCTTTATGAGTGTCCACTGTAGTAAACACCTGGGTATCTGGCCACTTAAGTGTGTAGTCCGTGCTGGGACAGCAGACACAATGCTGTTAGCAGGAAGGGTACCAACATTTTTCTCTTTCTGTCCAGTGTTTGTTGTTTTATTTTTATTTTTAAAGTTTATGTATTTGGTACAGGGTCTCACTACACAGCTCAGACTTGTAGTGATCCTCCTGCTTCAGCCTCCCCAGTGCTGGGATTACAGGCATGCGCCACCATACCCAGCTTTGGTGGTCAGCTTGGCTTGGTGGGCCAGGGGTGGGGCCAGCACAGCCTGTGGTACTGGGGATTGAACCTGGGTCCTTGCTCTTGCCAGGCAGGTGCCTAGACCGCCAAGCTATCTCCCTGGCCCTGTCCAGTGTTTTTTAAAAACAATGATGTAGATTACATGTGCAGCAAGCAAATGAGTAAAAGAAAAGCCAGTTAGAAGACTTGTTGAAATCAACCCCCGGATAGACTTGATTTATTCTTCCTGGTCAGAATCTATCTCTGCGGCAGGCCTTCGCTCGGAATGCATGTTTGAAAATAGGCCTTAATTCCATGATGTCAAATGTCAGTTTGGTTTTCCTTTGAGGGTTGTCTCTGCAAGGTTCACGTGGAAGGTCCTGCCTGTGGCAGCTGCAAACCACTGTACTGGAATCTGTCCCTAGAAAACCCCAGCGGGTGCTCAGGTAAAGTCCCATAGACACACCACCACTTCCTGTACTCTGGCTTTCTCTTAATTTTCTCTTCCTCAAGTGCCTAAACCCACAGAAGAATTATTTGTTGAAGCCATTTGATTTGTCTGAAGTTCTGTGAAATGTTTTTCCTTTTCTCCCACTTTTTCTAGAACTTCTGTCAGTTTTAAAAATTCTAGCAAGACATTGATATTGTTTCCACATGTATGTTGTTTGTGAAGGCAGGTACTTGAAAAATGCTTTTTCCCACCTCCTTGCTTTTATTTTATTTTATTTTTTCTTTGCTTTTACAACTCACTCTTTGGGACTCAATTTAAACTTTATACCTGAATTGATGCCAGAATAATAAATTGAAACCACTGAGTCATGGATACTGATGAAGTGAACATCTTTAAATTGAGTGTGCTGTCATGCCAGCGGGTCCACAATGACCTTGACATCAGATTCATTTCAAAAATCCCACGACACTGCAGTGTTGACGAGGCGTAGCCATAATCTGCTGCTCCTGGACGGGTTGTGCTCTCGACCTGTTCTGCTCCGCTCCAGAACAATTCGACTTTCTGTCCCGGGGCAAGTGTGGTGGTGCCGCGAGGTGGCAGGAAGCGCTCACTGCGTGACCTCGGGTGCAGGACGCTTTCTTCTCTCCACAGAATGCAAGTGTCATGAGGCGGGGACAGTGAGCAGAATCAGAGAGTGCACGCAGGTAATGCGGGCTGATTTGGGGGTGCGGGGGCGTAGGGTATGGCCGGCAGCGGGGCTGCTGGGGGAGGGTCGTGCAGCTGGTGCCCATCTCTGAGATCTGCTGGCCTCGCTTCCTGTTCTGCACCCCGCTAGTTCTCAATCTTGAAGACAGTGAATTCTGTAACTCAGGCCAGTGTTTCTCATTGGGCTTGTTGTTCCACAGGAAAATGGTGACTGTCACTGCAAAGGCCACGTGACTGGCAGGACCTGTGACACCTGCCCAGATGGATATTTTGGTCTGGAAAGCCAAAATTACTTTGGGTGTAAAGGTAAATCTGCCCAGCTGGCCCTGAAACAAGTGGTGGGGAAGGACAGACTGTCAGAGTCGTCTCCTCAGGCCTGCTTCCTGGGACGGCGCTGAAACATTCTGTCCGGGGAATGTGGCCAAATATTCAGCAGACAGGAGGCATAAATTGCCAAGGAGCTGCTTCTACTTCTCTCCTACCAGATCACTGTCGGTTTAATTATTAGAAAAATGTGGGCTGAGGAGATAGCTCAGCAGTCTAAGCGACTGCCTGGCAGGCACAAGGTCGGGGGTTCTATCCCCGGTACTGCATGCTGTGCCAGCCCCGGAACCCTGGCGTGCCTTGCTGGCCACCGAAACTGGGCATGGTGGCACATGTCTGTAAGCCCAGTGCTGGGGAGGCTAAGACAGGAGGATCGTTACCAGTCTGAGCTGTGTAGTGAGACCCTGTATCAAATAAATACATTTTTTTTAAAAAAAGAAAAAATTAGAAAAATAGTTGGGATGGGAGGTCCCTTTCTCTCCCTTTCTCCTCTTCTTTCTGCCCCTCCCTTTCTTCTTAGTCATTTTAAAGCTATATTTTCTAGTGTCAGAAAAGCCAGAGCTTTAGACATATGGTTGTATTTAATAATGGACACTGGTGTCCCACCGGCCTGCAGTCACGTACCTCTAACTTAGAATCAGGCCTTTTGGAACTTCAGGCCAGTTTCCCTTAAGAGGTTCTTAAGTATTTCCAACCCCTGCCAGACATAAGGTGTGACAGAGGAGAGAGGGTCGCTGGCTCTTCCTTCTTGCAGGGAGAGGGAGGCATTTGGTGGAAATGGTTGGATGGTGACTTGGTCTGTCTCCTGATTTTCAGGGTGTCAGTGTCACATTGGTGGGACCCGCATGTGTGATGGGTCCAGCGGGGAGTGCCAGTGCCGGGAGCACGTGGTGGGGCAGCAGTGCCTGCGGTGAGTCTCCAGGAGGCTTTCTCCCATGGTCACGTGGTGGGCAGCAACCTTAGACCCTTCCATCATGTCAGGTTCTGTCTCAAGGATCAAGTGCAGATGAAGCTAGGTGACACAGTTTGAAATCTGGACCTTTGTCCAGGAGTTAAGTCAAATAGGAGGTAAGGATGTTCACAAATCCTGTTGTGCTATGTGTGTAGGCTCTGACATTCACAAGTCTCTGATTTGGAGGGGACAGGCGCAACAAGCCAGGTGGGCGAGATACAGCTGGAAGCTGAGTCCCCGTGCACAAGCCACAGCATGGGGGAGCTGGTTAGCCCCAGCTTGGGGACACTGAGGGAATAACAAGGGGTGGACCTCACTTGATTGGAAGCAATTCAACTTCTCTCTGGGTCCCAGGAGCGAGGAACAGAGATGACAGGTATATTGTAATAAGGGGCATAAACAAATCTTTTAAAGTGAGGAAAAACGCCTTCTGTCCTGCAGAAGCACAGGAAAATGAGCTGTGAAGGCAAGGAGGCAGAGCGGGTACTGAGACCCAAAGGGCTGTAGGAAATCTGGTCGCATGCTGTCTCTGCCCGGCTGTGTGTGGTAGGATGCGACCTCCCCGCCCCCCAGCGCTGCTGCAGAGCGCCATCTAGGGGAAGGCAGGGATCTTCACTACCAGAAGCAGCCCTGGAACCTTAGGAACAGAGGGTAACAAGTTTCAGCTTGCTCGGTGCAGTCAGTCTGCGGTGAGCTAAGGCCGAGAGAGGGCGTGCCGGGTGGGCCTTGAGGCAGCAGTCGGTGGTGGCTGAAACGCCCCAGCAACGTTGATAGCAGAGCGCCTTTTCCGCATGCGGGCTGGCCAATCTTGTTTCCTTTTGTACTAATTCTCCCCAGATGGTAGTTTCGGATATTTTTCTGAGCTTTTTTAGATTTACTTACAAGTTTAGAAAGACTGCATGAGTCTGGCAGGATAGCTCAGCGGTCTAATGCGCCTGCTTGGGCAAGCGTGCAAGGACCGTGGTTTGATCACCGGCACCACATGCCGTGCTAGCTCTGCCCCCAGGGTGGGCGGCGCCGGCCACATGCACTGAAAAGAAAAACAATTCATTGTGTTTTACAAATATATTATATATCTTTTTGGGCAGAACAGGGGATTGAACTCAGGTCCTTGGGTTTACCGGGAAAGCGCTTATTCTACTGAGCCATCTCCCTGGCCCCTTACAAATATTTTTGTGATAAAAATGTAACATGTTTATTGCAGAAAATTTCTTACATTTATAATAGTAAAAAGATAAAAATCTTTATTCCACTACCCGCCAAGGGCCACTTTTAATATTACTGGTTTAGTTTTTCTAGTTTGGTTTATGAATAAAATTTTGCTTTTTTATATAATTTGTATTCATTTCTTCATCTCACATGATTATTATAAATACTTCTCATGTCAGCAGTCTTCAGAATATTAATGGTTTTATAATATTTCCTAATTTTTGTACCTTAGTTGTAGTTATCAAGTTTTCACTGTTGACACTTTTATGTTAATTTTTTGACTCTGTATATAAAACTATTTCTTTTTTTTTTGTTCCCAATGCCTTGAGGGCAGGTTTGGCTGGCTTGAGTGGTGGGACTCGAACCACAGCAACCTGAGCCTGACAGCTTTGTTGAAGCAGCCACTTAAAGAACTGAGCTAAGGGGCAGGCCCCCTGTAAAACTATTTCTTAAAATGGATTCCTGGAAGTAGAACTACTAGGTTAATAGGCATGAACATCTGTAGAGATCTTTGTAAATGCCTTCCAGAACTGTAAGGATTCCTAATTTTCCTCTTCATGTAGGGGCATGCCCTTTTATTTCCTTTGACTAATTGATCTGTGTGTCTGTAGTCCACACGTGGCTAGTAGCTTGTGCCTGGATGGGCAAAGGAGGTATCGTTCAGAAGAACTTCAGGTAGTTTGACTGTCAAGTCACCAGAATATTCTTGCTCTTTTCTGTAACTGCCACAACTAAACTCTTGAAAGGAGTCCATGCGTGGGTGTGTGCCGCTACAGAGAAAAAGGCATAGAAGAGCCATGTCAGTGATCAAAATCTGACTACAGAGAAACGCACTTCTTTGACTTGTAAATATAATATATGGAATACTTTATAGCACATTCATTCTGGTGTCTGTGGTAGTTAGGCATCGCGCCTGGCACGTAGATATTAATATTTGTAGAATGAGTGACATGTGTACAAATGAATGGACGTACAGTAAATAACCTAATTTGACTTTGCGCAGCTGTTGGCAGCCACTTAACTAATAGGCAAGGGTATGTTAAAGAACGTTTGAGTTGTGCTAAATGACCGTCTCGTTTAAATGCTTGGAGTGAGTTGTTGGGTGTGATTTATGTGTATGTTTACATGAGTGGAAGCAGTAATTTACAGAGAGGGGAGCAGGCTGTCTCATTTTCCTTAGTTAATGTTCTCTGTTGAGTTGGCGGAGTTCTTGGAATGACTGTTGGGAGTAAAGCAGAGGCAGGTGATGAATGGGCCTAACCTGATGTGTCTATGCTTTACTTATAAAAGGGCTGAAGAGAACTACTACTTCCCAGATCTGCATCATATGAAGTATGAGATCGAAGATGGCACTGTGCCTCATGACAAGATCTTTCGGTTTGGGTTTGATCCCCTGGAATTTCCTGAGTTCAGCTGGCGAGGATACGCCCAGATGACCACATTGCAGGTGTGTGGGAGGGAGGCTGTCACAGCCCCAGACCAGCCAGGGGGTTCCCAGGGTGAATCGCCCCCAGAACTGATGCTGGCATTCACCTTCTCCAGAGTATAGATTGCGACTGGAGGTCAGATTGGGCTTGGCGTTGGCGGTACGATGAGATGGTAACTGATACAGGCATTTGGATTTCACAGTCTATTGCTGCATTGATTTAGTTACCAAATCAGAAAAAAAAATGGTGTTTATCTCTGGAGCCCTTTTACAGGAAGCAAGAAATTTCCTAAACAACATTAGGTTATATTATAGCATGAGGCACATTGTTTTTTAAAATGCTATTCATGGAAAATAAAAATTAGCTGCCTTAAAGCTAGTACTGCTGTTTTTTGACTATTGCTTTTTAAAGCCCCAAATAACTATGTGAACAGAAATGAAGATAAATGATAGATTTCAGTTGGTGCAACTGAATTCTTCTTTCCCATATTTCTTCTTTCCTTTGCTCTTTTCTGCGGTAGTCATCTGTCTTGGCTTTGCATTAGAGTAAGGAAATTTAAAAGTTGTTTACCTTTGGTGTACAATATTCATATGAAAATTGTATATAGTTGTTAAATAATTTTGTGCTTAGAATCACTCTTTGAGATTGGCCCTCTCCACCTGCCTCTCACTGGAAAAATTCAGAGGAAGGGGGTAGACAGGTGATCAGGGTGACCCAACAGCTGTCCTTAGCAGATCCAGGACCAGTATAGCTGGTAGCGAAATGGGAGCAGGCCCATAGTTCTCCTGGAGTCCCTGTTGATTTTAACACTGCCTTTTGCCTGGTTAAATTCTCCAAACCAAGCCACTTTTGCCAAATACAGAAGGACCTTAAGACAAGGTCTTACTATCTCACTCAGGCAGCCCTTGAACTTCCATAAGACCTACGACAGTTCTGTCTTTTTCCTTTCTACTCAGAATAACTACTTGGTTTCTTTAGTATCCTGACCTAACTTCATAATTCAGAAAAACATGGTAGGTTCATTGAGCCACAATACTACAAGAATGTAGTCAAGGTCATTATGGTTTCAAAGACTAGCTCACTGACATAAGAAACAAATTTCTAAGGGCTAATTGAGGAAGATGTGATGGTGTCCCTTGAGTAACTGTTTATTTTACTCTGCTTTGAACACTTGTTTCCCAACTTGGCCCTAAGATTGAAAGGTGAATTCAGTCCAATGCTGGGGGACAGAGATTTCCTGGATGTGGGTCACCTACAACTCTGGCTTCCAGAACTTTTTCCTCAAGCCAGCCATCATTGTCTTCAATGCCTCACTCAACAAACATCCCCTTCACTGGAACCAAAGGGTTTCTGTGTGTGGGAGGGACATAAAGATTTTACCTGGGAAATTCCATGCTTCATGAACTTTCCTGGACCTCAGCTGGATTTGGACATGTTGTCGGTAGTTCTGAATTAAAACTACTACTCTTTTTCTCAAGATTGTGAGTGCTACAATGTTTGGTGCTGTGTGAGCCCCAGAGTGTGGAGACCCACAGGACCCTCCCATAGGAACTTAAGGCAGCTGTTTTGTTTTGTTTTACCTTTCCACCCAATATAATAATTGGTTTCTTTAGTATCCTGACCTCACTTTATTATTCAGAAAAATAGGCTAGATTCATTGAGTCACAGTAGCACTACAGGCCAAAGAGCTAACATTCTTCTTGGATAAGGGCTTGAGATAAAACTTCATAAATAGGTATACTTTTTTATGTCCAGATTTTACCACTAATGTTTCCAGGGTCTATAACTGTTCCTCTGCCCCCATGGTTTCTTTGAACATTTAGATCATATCTATGTGAAGTGGATCTTGGTTGGGGCCTTCTCTCTTCAGGGTAGGGATGTATGAAATAACACACTTGCCTTTCCTTCTCTTCTACCTTTTTATTTTTCCCCAGCTTGTGTGGTTGTCTCATCATGATGGCTTTTTAAATCTGCTCCATCTAAAACTCCGCTTTGTCTCCTTGGTTACAAAATGGTCAAAACAGGGTCTTGGTGGCTGGGAAATGCATTTTCACTGTGACTTTCATTGTAAGTGATTTTTGATTCATTGTTGGGCCTGTCTGTTACAAAGCTTGGTGCTTGTTGGTGTGTGAATGTGCACTTGTGTGTGCAAGTGTGTGTGTGTGTTGTGTGTGTGCACGCGCTACAAGTACAATGAAGTGAATGGAATAGAGTCACTAGTTGGCTAATGTTTTTTTTTTAAACTGGCTTTCTCTTTCATACTTGGTGACTTTCTGTTATTTTACAGAATGAAGTAATGATAAAGTTGAATGTGGGGAAGGCAGATCTCTCCTTATTCCGCATCATTCTACGATATGTTAACCCTGGCCCTGAAGCAGTATTTGGCAATATAGCTGTTTATCCATCCTCGGGAAAGGCAGGTGAGTAAAATTTGAAGCCTCTTTTCAGCTGGAGAAATGACCAAGGAACAATTCAATTTTCAAAGTTGGTCATACATACACAATGATAAGCTTGGTATGTGCTCTGATTAGATAGGCCTGGGTGCCCTCTATTAGCTTTTTATTTTTTGAACTTTATGTTTAAGTTCTGCCTTAAATGATCACTCACTATCATTTAAAAAATTCATACAGCATCTTCTGTCCCTTGGCTGGATGCTTTGGGTCATGACCTTGTCACATGTCTGTTGACATTTTGGTGTTAAGAGACCTTGTCCTGCTGCCCTTATCCTCCTGTCATTTAGAGCAGACCAGGTAGTTCGTGGAGAAATGATCAGGACAGGGATGATTAAGACAAAGGCTGTAGGAACAGAGCCGGAGAGAGTTCCAGGAGGGATGTGTGAGCCCTTCAGGGGTGAAGCTTTCTGGGGCTCCATAGAAGAGAGCGCAGCGTCCTCACAGCCGGAGACAAGGCCTAAATATTTGCCTTACAAGGGACTCAGTCTCCCTGTCATCCTGGACACAGTCCAGGAGTATTTGGAGTCCTATACGGAGGCAAAATGGTGCCCTTGCAAGTCTAGTTGAGGCTCATGATCGCCTTTGTTGAGCAGCCAGGGCAGCACTGGGTTTATGGAAAGAAACGACATGGTTCTCCAGCGGTGTCAGCCCAGCTTGGTGGCTGCAGGCCAATGAACTAATGCGCGGCGGGAAGCGCTGCAGCTCACCTCCTCCTGGGTAGTGTAGCTCATTCTCTGTGCCTTCCTGTGACAAAGTCTTCGTGGATGGAAGAGGCTGAAAGAGCACAGCTGGGAGGGGTGGTCATGGCTCGACTGTGCAGCGGTCATTGTAGACAGTGTTTGGGCTACACACTCTTCTCAGACGGGACCCACCCCTCCTGGGTGACACTGCCACCAGCAGCCTCCTTTCTGCTGACCCGCAGCCTTGCTGGGATTGTTTCCTCCTCCTCCAGGACAGTGTTCCCCGAGTTGGGGTCAGGAGCCCTTATACATCCCCATGGTCACACAGGCCTCGCTCCCGTGCCGTGCCACACGCTCGCGTGTTCTAGTTGTGTTCCTCACTGCCCTGCCCCCATCGTCCCGAGCAGAGCCTGCACATCCCGTGTTCACTGCCGCATACGCAGAACTGCCTTCTGATCTAGGACAGAGTAGGCCCCACTAAGGTCTGCAGGACAAACTGCAGTGCAAGGGTCTGCAACAAGCATTTCTTCTCAAGACAAAATTCTCAGCTGGACTCAGGTGCGGAGTACTGCCTGTCTCTGGACCCTCTGCAGAAGGTCCTCCATTTGTTTAATGCAGAAGAAAACACATTTCATCCTGAAAACAAATAGAAAGCCAAAGCATTTATTGTGAGATGAGTGCATGCTCATTAATAAAAATAAGCTTTTAAAAATCCTATATAAACAGAAAAAAGAAGAGAGTTTAATAGCAAGTACAATACATTGAACATATCCTGTAGCAGTGTACACTTATTACTTAATACACTGAATGTTTTTTGAAAGTCTTATAATTGTGGCATGTACAGGTACTGCTAACATCATATTAATATCTTTGTAGCCTATTTTATACATATGAACATTTAGATGTACAATTTTTAAAACTTAAGACCTATACATCCAGTCAGTATGCATGATCAGTAAACCACCTTAAACTTTTTTCTGTGTAAACCAAAAGTTGAAAAATAAATTATCTAAAATCTTAACAGTGGCAGCTAGATGCTAAGCTGCTCTTCGTATGTCTGACAGATGTTGCTCAAAATAAAAAGATCATATTCCTGCCGAGTAAGCAGCCAGCCTTTGTCACCATCCCTGGAAATGGTTCTGCAGACTCATTCATAATCAGCCCGGGGAGATGGGTTGCCTCGATCAAGGCACAAGGAGTCCTGCTGGTAAGACAGAGTCCAGAAGGGAGGGTTCTGCAGACTGTTTCTCCCCAAAATGGGCTCACCCAATGCTGCGACCCACAGGGACACAAGATATCAAAAATCACAAGGATGGGGCTGGGGGGATAGCTCAGTGGAATAACTGCTGGTCCTGGCAAGCACAAGGTCCTGAGTTCAATCCCTGGCACCACCCCACCCTCCAAAAAATCACAAGGAGGTCCCTTTTACTACCCAGAAGCCCAAGGTGACCTCCTCAAATGACAATGACATAGGAACTTCCTTGAAGTTGTTATTGTCTTATGTAGCCTTTTAGCTATCTTTCTCTGGACCAAAACCAAACTAAACCAAAAGCAAAAGCAAAATAAAAACACTAAACCATAACTCATTGGGACTCAAAGTTGTCAGAGCAGCCCAAAACCTTTATGCGCTTGTGTGGCATTTGCTACCAGGAGGCAGAGGGCGCCTGAAATACAGGCCAGTCTGGGAGTCACGCAGAGTACATTCAGAAAGTCCTGACAGGTGATAGAAGCCCAGTGCCACTGAGTCTCTGCAGGTGAAAAGAGAAGGAAGAGGGCCCTGGGCTCCCCCAGGATGCCCTCTGCTGGCGGATGCCCAAGGTCGCCCCAGACTGACTGAGGGCTCCTCATCCATGAGTGCCAGTAGTGTAGCCAGAGCAGACCCGGGCTGCAGCCAGAGACCTGTTCTCTGGGCCTCCTCTTCTGCTTTAGGTCCACTTAAGCCTCCAGCGAGGTGCTTGATAAAGTTTCTGGTAAAAGCTTGGTTTCATGCACTGTGACAGGAAAAACCACGATTGGCAAATCGTAGGCTGGAGTCCGAATGCCAAGCTTGCCAAGCTTGCTTCGTCCAAGCCGTAGGATCAACACTTGACCTCACGGGTCCTTTCTGAATCTGGGATCTTATGGAGATAACAAAGACTTATGCCGTCCACCCAGGCCTTGTTTTCTTGCAGCTTCTTGGCAGGAAGCTTTACTGCTTTAGATGGATTTAGAAATACTTCTCAGATGCTAGAAGTGAGGAAGATTTCCTTGATGCCAGTAATGGGTATGAAGTTGGACTAGTGGAAAGTTAACTTTAATGGAAAGTGTGTAGTCAGTTAGTTATCACCTCAGTACGGAGGGTGATTGATGAGATTTCGGTGTATAATTGTGCAGTCTACACACATGTAGCCTTCCCTCTTATGGCCCATTCATTTTACTGAGCACCTATCATCTAATCAGCATTTACTACTCTATGATCTATTGTACCATGGAGTAGTGAGGGGATACAGTCCCAGCCTCAGGAGCCACAGTGATCATTTTTATATTAAAGCTCCCTTGGAGCCAGGAACGGTGTACACCTGTGATCATGCAGGAGTCTCTTCTCACTTAAGCAAGTGTCCCCACTGCCTTCCTTCTGCCGATGTCAGGGAGGTCTTGTATTTGGTGTTGCCAAAAGCTGTCAGATGACCCAGGTCTGAAGGCCCAGAGCACTGCCCTGCATAAGTTACGCCCTGGCCTCATCGGGCACCCTCGGGGCCACCTGCTGTTTCATCACCTGGAGGACAGGCAGGGCCCGGCTCACTCTGAGTCACCAGGCTCACAACATCTCCTTTTAACATCCCGTCTGGCGAGTGGCACTTCGTGGGGCAAAAGCCGTTACCAGCACTATGCCGACTGAAGCAGATGGCGCCTTAAAGGAACTTGCTCTCAGTGGACAGCTGATCAGCTTTGGTAGTTTTGGGACTCATAAGCAAGCCAGAAAAGACAGGACCGTTTCCTCTGGGATCTGAGAAGCATACGCGCTTCCCCTCAGTAGCTTGTCTCCAGTGCGGGCAGAGCTGTGAGGACTCGAGGAGTTCTGATGAGTCAGGGTGATATGCCGAGGCTCATCCTGACTTCACCGGGCTCGCATTCACTCAGCTAGTATGTGTGGTTATTTTATCACCATGGTAGGGCTGCGAGCCAAGTGAGTAACCGTCCTGTGGTCTTCCTTTGCTAGGATTTCCTGGTGCTGCTCCCCAAGGACTACTATGAAGCGTCTGCGCTGCAGCTCCCGGTCACTGAGCCATGTGTCATCTCAGGACTTCCCGGTGAAAAGTTAGTAGGGGGCAGAAGGTGCAGCCACAGTGTCATCAGGGACTCTGAACTAGGAGGCCTTCACGGTAGCCCTCAAATTCACAATCGCAGCGGGAGGATCTGGATAATTGTTTGACTGTGATTTTTCCTCTGGATCTTTCTTGTTTGTGTCCTTCCAGTGGGCCTCACAGAGTACTTTGCACCCTGCAATCTTTCAGGAGTGGTTAAGCCTGTAGCATGTGGAAACTTTGTTGCATGTCTGAGTAGTAACCTTAAGGTCTGGAGGTGCACCTGGTAAGGGGAAGTGCTTAAAATGGGACCCAGGTTGGTGGGTCTTGGTTTCTTCCCATTCCGATGCAGGTGAAAATTTTCTACTCAGTTTCTACAGTAAGCACAGAAGAGTTTGTAGAAGCAATGATGTGTGAGTGACAGAGTGAATGAATGACTGACAGTCCCCTGGGGACGCACTGTGATATTCTGTTGCAATGCTGGTAACTCTTGTTTTTTGTTGCTGTTGAAGATGCTTGCTCTACCAGCACTTGCCGGTGAATAACTTCTCTTGCACCCTGGCTTCTGAGGCTAGGATCTTCGGGCTGGGTGGGGTCCAGGTTCCAGTGGCTATGAAGAAGCTCAGCCCAGCCCACCCTCCCATGGTGAATCTCGGAGGAAAAGAGGTGAGGGCAGCTCTTATTTCCGGTCAGAGCCCCTACTCCCTTGCTGTCTGCTGCTGCAACCAATGCTCGCTCGCCCGCCAGTGTTCCTAAAACTCGAGTAGCTGGAAGAATTTCTCAGGGATGTAATCAGCCTCTGCACAATCCTCTGAGCTGGGTTGTGGGCTGGAGCATAGCCTGCCCTGAGCTGGGGTAAGGTTGTTCCTGGACTCAGACTTGGCAGGGGACCTGGGCAACCACAGAGTGCTTTCCTTTTGCCTACCTGGACCTATGGGGTGAGGGCCATCCTGTTCTACTCGTCTCAGGGCAAGATCTCTCTTAAAAGACAGATGAGACTCAGCCTTTACAAAAGGCCTCCAAAACTTCATGGCTTACCCTAAGAGGATACCATACTCACTCGCTGTCTAGCCCTCTAGGCTAAGTAATTTATGACAGCCAAATTCCTGGAGCTCAGAACCTGGAATTGCCACACCACAAGGCGGCCACCTCACAGCCCCGGGGACATGTTAGCACAGGCCGGGGCTTGGCTTTCCTCCTGGCAGCACTTTGAGTCTCCTAACCCCAAATGTAAGCACATCCTGATTTAAGATTTGAGTTCTAAGTATAGTTCACTGACATAAACAGAACACACAGCCCTTCAGAATGAAGATGCTGAAAACCAGTTTCCTCCCCCTTTTTTTTTTCTAGAACATTCTCTGTATCACTTACCTTGGAAGAAAATGTTCACTTGGGATAAAATATGTAAAATGAAGATATGGTGGCCTTAATTCTCTCTGAACATGTAGATGTGTGCATTTTTTATAAGAAGCAATCCTAACATTTTGATGTCCCATACAGTAACCCCTAGCTCTTTGTGAATAAACTTCACTACACTCCCATTGCTTGCCTGGCAAGTGCAAGGGACTGAGTTCAATCCCTGGTTCCACCAAAAATAAATAAAAATAAATAAGTAAGTAAGTAAGTAAATAAATAAATAAATAAATAAACTTCCCTTGACTATATATAAAAATTCAGTTCCTGAGTTGTGTTAACCACATTTCAAGGTCACGACCTGACAGTCAGCTTTGTTTAGTAGCCATCCTACAGGATGGCAGATCAGAGAATATTTTCATCATTGCAGAAATCGTTGTGGATTATTATGCTGAAATTCAAAGATGTACAGGGTTAAAAGAGGTCTTGAAAAAAATCATGATTTCCCCTTCAGTGAAGAAAGTCTTCTCAATATTTTGCTTGTTAGACTCATTTACCCTGTGTATATGAAACAAATGAATTTTATGTTTAGACTGGAGTCCTATCCCCAAGCCATCTCATTATGTATCTGTAAATATTACACAATCTGCCAAAAATGCAGAACTGCCACACCCTCGGTCCCCAGCATTTCAGATACAGGGTAGGCAAGCTGAAGCACCATGTTTCACAAGAATCTCGGGTAGACCCTCATTAGCCCGCCCACATCGCTCAAGCTGCCATGTCTCCCAATTCTCCCACCATACTTTGGCCAGAGAGCTACTGCTGACATGAGTGTCTGATCATCACCCCCCCACACACAATTAGAACCCTACAGTAATGTCTCATTAATCTTAGAATAGAGGTCAGAATGTTAGCCTGTCAAGTGAGATTGGCCTTTCTACCTACCGTGCTGTCCGCCCCCTCTTCCTCGCCATTCCTTGGACATCCATCGGCTTTCAATCTCTTCACCTCTCATTGCATGGGGCCCTGCAGCATTTTATGTTTGGGGTACCCTCCTGCTGCCTGCTCTTCCCTCTGCCTGCGTGCTGTCCCCTCCCCTGGCCCTCCCTCCTTCTTCCTTCAGGGAAGCTCTCTCCCTCCCGCATCTCCCTGACCAGGTCAGGCCTCTGTCCTACACACTCCTATAGCATTCCTTCAGCATATTTAGCAAATGTGGTGATTTTACAATGGAATTATCTTGTTATTGAATTATCTGACTAAAGTTTGACTGAGGGCAGAGACCCCCTTTTCCTGTGGTACCCTCAATACCTGGCTGGTAGGCTGGCCTAGAACAGGCTTGCAATGGTTGTTGATCAGATCCCTAGAATCCCTATTTTCACATCAGGGCTGTGTTTTATCCCATAAAGCCTTACATAAGCCCACCATCTGTACCATTATCTTAAAGTGCCAGTAACTAGGAAGAGGCAGTCTGTGCCAGAAAATCTGTTTGACATGAGCTGCTTCCAAGTTCTCTTTATTAAAGAAAAAAATTAATTTGGTACAAGGTCTCACTATGTACCTCAGACTCACAGTGATCCTCCTGTCTCAGCCTCCTCAGCACTGGGATTGCAGATGTGTCCCACTATGTCCAGTTTCAGGGCTGGCTTTGCATGCAGTACTGGGGATCAAACTTGGGTCCTTGCATTTGGCAGGCAGGCGCTTAGACTGCTGGGCTATCTCCCCAGCCCCAAGTTCCCTTTTTAATTGATAACTGATAAGAGAAACATAACATTTCTTTTGGTCAATTTAATGTCTTTTATCTGAGATCCTCAAAACCTGCTTCTATCATCAAGTGTGTTTTCTAGACTCTTTTCACAAGTAGTCCAAAAATTAATCCATAGGAGTCAGTGAGGAGTGGGGCTGAAATTTAAAGCAGAGTCCGTGCTAGAGCTTGCAGTCAGGAATAACTTCTGGGGAAAGCGCTGCTAAGTCATCAACCTATGGATGGTGGTGGGGTGGTGGGATAGGAACACATGAACTTCTGTTCCCAGATGCCCAGGAGAAAAGCTGGTGTCAGCCTTTCCTGGGCTGGCACAGTGCCATCTCTCTCTCTCTGTCTCTCTCTCTCTGTCTGTCTCTCTGTCTCTCTCTGTCTCTGTCTCTTTCTCTCTTTCTGTGTCTCTCTCTCTGTGTCTCTCTTTCTCTCTGTCTCTCTTTCTCTTTGTCTTTCTCTCTGTCTCTCTGTCTCTCTGTCTCTCTGTCTCTGTCTGTCTTTGTCTGTCTGTCTGTCTGTCTCTCTCTCTCTCTCTCTCTCTCTCTCTCTCTCTCTCTCATACACACACACAGAGTCAGAGGCGGTGTGGCACTCCACACTTCCCCGAGGGAAGTCTTTATTATTTAAGTGGTAGAAAAATCACTGGAAAATAGCAGCCATGTGGCTCAGAGCTGTTCAGAAAGCAGTAAATGTGAATCTCCTGGAGGCAGGGAGAAGGAGGACCATTCTAATTAAGTGTGGTTAAAGCTGGCTGCGGTGGGTCACGCTGCTAAGGAGTGTAAGCCTGATGTTGGCTCAGGCATTAAATATGCAGACACGCTCTAACCCACAACTCTGCATCTAGGAGGCTGACAGAAGGGCCAGGCATAAGGACACAGCAGTGGTGCTATGACACTGTACACTGTAGGGAATGTTAGGGACAACCTAGGCATCCGCCAGTAGGACAGGAGTTAAATGATTTTATATTCATCTTATAGAAGGGCTGTGGTCAGCCACTAGAAATTGAAGTTCATCTGTATGGACTGATAAAGACGCCTAAAACACTGTTGAGTACATGATGAATCACGGCCTAAAGCAAGGATCGTGATGACCAGCGTAGTGCGTAGGACATAGCGGCTCTGGCTCCGAGAGCCCTGCGTGCTTGCCATCGCTTGCTCCTGATAACCACCTCACAAGGTGGGTTCTCGGGTGTTCTGTCATGACCTTGGATCACACAGGGAGAGGCGTCGGGTCCAGCCCCCAGACTCCTAGCCAACAGCTGACAGAGCAAAGCGCGTTCTTTCTCTGCCAAGGGCCAGATAGTGAACATTTTCCATCTTGCAGGTCAGATGGTCTCTGTCACTGCAGTCCGAAATCATCTTCACTTGCTTCCTTTGATCAGCCTTCCTTAAAAATTGTGCGTACACAGGCATGGGAAATGGTTTGAAAGTATAAGAACCAAGATATCGACAATTCTTATCCCAGGAGCAGCATGTGTGGGTGCCGCATCTGTGTTATTTTCATTCAGATCATTGGAAATTTCTTTTTTTCCACATTATTTAGAGGTGCTTCTTAGCTCTACAGATGAATGGGCTGCGTTCTGGCCAATTTGTACATGCACGTAACCTCTGTTCATCACTTCCCCATCGCCTGCCTTGCTCCACAAGCTCCCTAGTTTCACATTTTGAAATTTCTTTTTAAAATAACAGTTCAGGAGCCTCAATGTCTGTCTGCCTTCCTCTTAGCATCCATCAGCACCTTCTACTCCAGGCTTGGAAGTGCCTGGGCTGTGAGAAACAGGGGGTGGGGTGGGAGAGATGCTCCTGGGTAGAGGTAGGAGTCCTAAACAGAGGTGCTAGACTGAGGAAAAAAAAATACCTGGTAGAGCCGCAGGGTTAGCTCAGCAGTCTAAGCGCCTGCTTAGGCAAGCACAAGGACCCAGGCTTGATCCCCGGCACCACACGCTGTGCCAGTCTTGGAAGCCTGAGTGAAATGTGCTGGCCACCAAAACTGGACATAGTGGCGCGTGCCTGCAATCCCAGTGCTGGGGAGCCTGAGACAGGACGATCACTGTGAGTCTGAGCTATGTAGTGAGATCCTGTACCAAATCCATAAAAAAGAAAAAGAAAAGTGTCTTGTAGATTTGAAATTCAGATAAACAGCAAACCATTATCCATTATTTACCTGGGCTTCAGTTTCCATGGGGCCTCTTGCTCCCACCCCTACCTGGCCCCCAGAGGATGAGGCTGACCGAGAAGACACCTCTAGAGCGTCCTCTCTGCTTTCATCCCTGGGTACACAAGTACATCCTGAGCATTTAGCAGCGTGTGACAGTCTGTTCATCTCTCTGGCAGATGGAACTGCACCTGAGGCTGCGCGTCCCACAGACTGCGGACTACGTGATCATGCTGGAGTATGCGGCTGAGACGGACCAGCTGCTTGTGCTCCAGGTGTTCCTGAACATCTGGCCGGAGCTGAGAAGCCGGCTGGACATACACAGCTGCAAGTACAGGTGATCAGTGCCACCCACTTGCCTCTGTGGGAACAGATCAGAGGACTGCCTGAGAAGTATGGTTTTTATTTGCACTGGAGTCTTGGTTTCTTTTCTTGGGGTGTATCTCGAAAGCATGCAGGGGCCAGCTGCAGGATCCAAGGACAACTGCAGAGTCAGCTCTGTGGGCAGCAACTTAAAATAATGCATCTGCTGAAAAGGCTGCATGTTCTGTCTGGCAGTTTGGGTCAGAGTCACTGGAAGTCACATGCAAATCTCCTTTGTCTTGCTCTCAGCCCCCTCCCCGCAGGCTAGCATAAGCACCAGTTCTTAGCATGAGGGCACTGTGGCTGGAGAAGGGGGTGGCTCGCTTCTCAGCAATGCTGGGGAGTGCCTGCCTGCCCTCACACACTCCCTCAGGATAGGGGCAGCTTAATGGTTGCCAGGTGAGGGACAGTTGACAGAGGACTTTAGAATGCACCCTCGTGAGGTGTCGGGAGCACTCCTTAAGAAGGGTTTGTTAAGAACGGCTTCCCTTGTGTAAGAGTGCAGGACAGCTTTAATTAAAACAAGCAGTGCTCCCCCGTGACTGCATAATGAACGCATTGGTGGTCTGCGTGCCTCGGAATGGCAGAGAGACAAGCAGCAAACTCAGCAGGGCTCAGCCCAGGCCTTGGATGTCACAGGGCCTCCACTCTACTGTTGCTTTTTAATTTTTTTTTTCATTTATGTATTTGGTGCAGGGTCTCACTACCCAGCTTGGACTGGTAGTGATCCTACTATTTTCAGCCTCCCCAGTGCTGGGATTACAAGTGTGCGCCACCACGCCTGGTCTTGGCCACCAGCTCAGCGCTCCCCAGGGGTGGGGCTGGCGCAACCTGCGGGACCAGGGATCAAACCCCATGTCTACGTTTGCCAAAGCAATAGTATTACTTTTTAAAAAACCAAGTAGTTGGACACCTTCCCTGATGAGAAAAGGAAAGAACATATGCAAAAAGTAACTATCAGTGGGCAGGCAGAGAAACTTACAGAACTTGCTGAAATGCCTGTTGAATTAACATCATGCCTCTGCAGCCCAGAAAATGTAGCTGTGAAGCCTTTCTCTCTGGGTCGAAGAAAAATAATAAGTGATGGAGATAGAGCAAGAGCGAGAGCAAGAACAAGAATGAGAGAGGAGAGGGGAGAGAGAGGAGAGAGAGAG